TGAGGAGACTCACTTGGCTTGAAGGCTTGAAGAATGACTGAGCAAGGCAGCAATGTCATTTTCCCTAACCTGCCCCAATTCAATGAATGGACCAAGATTCTCTGTTTACTAAGCTCCCAGATGACTCTAATGTGAGTGGTCTGCTGACCACACTTTGAAGAAAAAATGATCCAGAAAAATAAAAATAAAGACTACAAGTAAAGAGACATGATTATGTTCTCCAAACCTTCAACAATATTGCATGGAGCGTGATGGAGGAAATTGGGATACTGAGACTGTAAAAGAAAAGCCTCAGAAGGGACACATAACTAAAATATACAGAAAGGGTCATTGCAATAAAAAAGATGTAGCTCAGTTTTCTCTTGCTCAAGACAGAACTACAGCCAGTAAATAGCAGTCATAGTGATGAAGACTTGAACTCAATATAAGGAAGACTAAATCTCTAGAGCTGCCCAACCATTGAGCAGGTTCATCAAGTAGTAAGATTCTCTTATTGCAGGAATAGAAGTAGAGATGAGAGGATCATCCTCAACGATGACAAGGAAACTGTTGGTTAGATAGCAATCCCTTCAGCTCCCCTTAAACCTGTGTCAACTCCAGCGATGCCCACTGTTCTGTGATTATTTGCTTATGAGTCTTTTTCCTTGACTGTGAGCTCATTGAGGCACCAACTCTCCTACCAGCTCACACACAGTGGCTGGCATGTTGGATGCTCAGTACACAGTTACCATGAATCTAACCTGAGAGCCTAATAAATCAAGTTCCAGAATCTGAAAATCTGGACTTCTGATGAGTTTCTTGTAGCTTCAGAAGAAAATTTGGAATTTACAGCAATCTCACCTGGGTTCACCGTGAACCCTTAGCTAAGTTTTCTTCAATAAAGGCCTCTTTCTTTTACATTTTAAAGTAACTTTACAGTTTCTGTAGATGGTGGTGTTTTTCCTAATTCCCATTCTAACTGGTTATTTCTAGTATGTAGGAGTCTAGTATCTAATAACGGTTGGACTTCCTTGTGGAATAGCTTAGTTTTCACAGTTTACAGAGAATTTTCCTGGTAGATGATCATATATTTTTTAAAATAACGGCAAATTTACTATTCCCCCCCCCCCCAATTTTTATACTATGTATTTCTTTTTCCATCATTGGGATTTTGCACGTGCAATGTTGAACAGTCTGGGTGACGAGGCATCCTGGTCTCATTCCTGACTTGATTAGAAATGCGGCCAATGTTTTTTCATTAGGTTTTTCCCTCCCTTCTCTACCATTATGGTTTTTTGGTTTGTTTTTTGTTTTTTGTGTTTCTTTAATATATCTTCATTGATTTCAGAGAGAGGAAGGGAGAGACAGAAACATCAATGATGAGAGAGTCATTGATCAGCTGCCTCCCGCACGCCCCTGACTGGGGAGCGAGCCCATAACCCGGGCATGTGTCCTGATTGGGATCAAATCGCTATATCCTGGATCCTAGGTCGATGCTCAACCGCTGAGCCATGCCAGCTGGGCTGCCATTATGTTTGATGTGCATTCCTAGAGTGAAAAAAGTGACTCCTATATGACTAAGGGAGAGATTGGGGGAGGAAAACAGCTATAAGACCAAGTTAGGGGTGTGGCAAGGAGAGAGAACCTGGCTCCAGATCCACTAAGGACCAGTTCACACACATTATGAGCTTCAGAATCCACCACCCACCTGCTGGCATTATGCCTCTTTCTAATATATGTGTGCACACAAATTAATGCTGCCCCAAGAAACATTTATATGACAATAACTCATGTTTGGAAACTATTTTTAAAGGGCTATGTAACCTATATATCTAGACAAACTATTTCATCAGCCAACCAAATGGTATCTTCTTTTTTTTTTTTTTTAATCTTTTTACTGATTTTTAGAGAGAGAGGAAGGGAGAGGGACCGAGGGAGAGAGAAACATCAATGTGAGAGAAGCATTGATTGGCTGTCTCCTCACGCCCCCTACCAGGGATTGAGCCTGAAGCCTGGGCATGTGCCCCAACCAGGAATCGAACCACCAACCTTTCAGTGCATGGAGCAATGTCCAACCAATTGGGCCACACCAGTCACTCTTATTTTGATTGTTGGATGGATACCCCAAAGAAGACATGTATCCAATGGAAAACAACCAGTCACAACTGCCTACATCTCTGCTACCATACATTAGTACAATCTGAGTGATCAAAGTCTTCTAAGAATGTCTTGCAAAAGCATATTTCATTTCATTGACTGCCCATCTGCTTGTTTAACGATAAAATGTTAATATAAGTCCCAGGGCCAAAGAACAGCACCAACCATTGGAGACCTATCATTCTAAACCACTGGGGCCAGGCTGGCCTGGTTTAATTCAACCTGAAACAGTGAAATCCATTCTCTCAAAAAGATCTTAAGAGAAAAAGGCCCTATGATGTCAGAGTGTTGTCATGACCTGGCTCTCCCAGCGTGATTCCTGGGTTGCAGACTAAATCCTCTATATTTTATATACTTGGAAAAGAGAAAAGATAATTTTCAATTTTGAGGGCTTTAATCTTTCGTCAGTCTGAAGACAATCATGAAGACATTTCATCAGTAAAAATGTATCGATATTTGGTCATCTACTGCTTCGCAGACAGCGGACCATATGGCACGTGAATAAAAGAAAGCCATAGTTTCTACTGTTAGGGAATATTTGGTCTTACAGGAGCTAAATAAGGAATTCTATACGCTAAAGCAGCACAAACGCCAAGAAAAATAAAAGCTAGGGGTAGAAGTAGCAGGGTAAAAGCTGACTTTACTTTTGATTGTTTAGGTTTCATGTTCCTTGGATTCATCTGAATTTGTTGATGTACCACCTGCAGGAGTTTTAAGAAAAATGTAAATGTTTCTGAAGTCCTGTTAATACAATTGACCTGGAGAATTAATTGTATGATTTGCTAATTTAGTCAAGAGTTCAGGTTCCTACCACACGCATCAGGCAGCAGACTGGGTATACGGTGGGTAGCAGCGAACAAAACAGGCAGGATTCCTGTTTTTGCAAGGCGTAAGTTCTGGGGGATTCAGCGTGCAAACAGTCTCCTCCTCTCTGGATAAACCGCCCCCCTCTATAAGACTCCTCACCCTCACAGAAAAGTGTCTCAGACCAAGCTCCTGCCCTCTTCATGACTCGCGAAGAGATGCAGGGACCGCAGAGTGGGCAGTGTGTCCACAAGCCACCTCCACTGCTCTCTCTGCCTTCCAGGCACAAGGCAGATTTCCAGAGGCACCAGGGGTAAAACAGGACACATGAACAGTGTTTTTTGGGCTGCCCTAGAAACCCCCAAACTCTTTCTATGACTGTTTCTATGGGAAAGGCCACCCAGTTCTGAACAACTGGCTTAGCAAACGCGCGGCTGAAACACCCTGTGTTTGGAAGCTGTCGACAGCCTGTGCTCAGGCAACTGCTAGCTCAAATAGCTAAAAACGACCTGGCACCCACACAGAGGCCCTGCACACACATTTCATCCAGAGTTGGAGCCTTTCCATGGCACTCACCAAGGCATAATTATTACGAATGTCAGCCTATAGCAGTATCCACGGAGGCCCTTCCACCAGCTGGAATTGCTACCCCGCGCCAGGCTTCAGCTAGGGGCCTGCCCACACTGGTGGCCGAAAACCGACTGCACGCTTCCGAGCAGCCCTGAGGCAGGGCGTGTATATTTCACCACAAACCCTATTTTTTCCTCTCCTTTTCTTCCACGTGCAGATCAAATTGCCCCAATTTTCAGCAGCCAGAACGGCTGAATGCCGTCATCCTCGGAAAGATCAAATGTGTGTCTCAAGGAAGGGACTGCTCTTTAGAAATTCCTGGGCATCTCGGGGCAGAGAAAACAAAGGTCGCTGACAGTTCATCTTGGCTACAGGATGAAGACTGATCATACATGGCTTTTCCCAGCCGAGAACGACTCCAGGCCAGGGTAGCCAGAGAATTCTCAGGCTTTGGAAAGAGGCATCTTGACTAATCATGGAACACTCAACTCCAAAGTCGCTCTCACTTCCATCAACCTAGGTGGTCTTGGGTTAAAACACCTCTTTCATATTCCAGTCGCTCCCTCACCCTGTCCTCTCTCCCTGGACCGGCTTCCTTGATCCCTCCTCCAAGTTCTGATAAAATGCTGTTCTATGAAGCCTCCCTGATTCCCTTAAGCCAAATCAGCTTCTTTCTTACTCATATCCGCAGCCCAGCAGTCCATACTCTGTTATATATTTATCACGTGGCATTATTGTTACCTATTGATCATGATATTTATCTCAGTTCGTCATGTTATTTTGTGGTCATCTTAGGGTATCAGGCAATATGCTATCACTCCCACGTCTACTAATATTAGTAACACTATTAGTATTATGAGTGTTTACTATGCGTCAGACTGTATGAATGCAATCTCTAATTGCTACAAGAGCCCTGTGGGATGGATATTGTTATTCTTACCCTTTTTTCTGTAGTTGAGGAAAGTAAAACCAAGGGAGATTGTACAAATGGTTAGTTGTGGCACCGAGAGTCAAAATAAAGTCTATTTTCTCTTAAAGCCCATGCTTTTAACCACTATGCTAAAATACATAATAGTAGGTGCTATTGACTAAGTGCTTACTAGATGTCAGGCTCTGTTCCACAGGCTCTATGTACATTAGCTAATTTGATCCTCACAAAAACCCTGTAATGTAGATATCATAATTATAATCTCGATTTTGCAAAAACGAAATTAAGGTTTAGAATGGTTAAATGACTTTCCCAAGGTCACAGAACTATGGAGAATGGATTTGAATGTAGGTCAGTCTCTCCTAGGGCCTGAGCCCTTACCCACTACACTATTCCATGACCAGATGGTAGATTTCCTTTCATCTTGGCAAACACCGCACAGGTTTTCAAGAATAACCCCTCTGGGGACAGAAAACTGGACAGTGGCCTACTTAACTGGACAATGACCCAGTTTTCCGACTCCAGCAAATAAAGCAAACCTGTCAAGCCCCTAGGCACTCACCTTAGCACGTGTGTGGACCCATTAATGGTTGTGGTCGAGCAGGGGACAGTCTGGCCCAGAATGGAAGGTCTTCGGTAACGCTCATCATCACAGCACAGAGTGATGAGAAAGGCACGTCGAAAGGACTTGTTCAAGAAGGCGTAGAGAAAGGGGTTCAATCCAGAGTTGATATAGCCAAGCCAGAGGAAGGCAGTCCACACCTGCCCGGGCACCGTGTAGTCTATGAAGGGATCCACAACATTGGTGACAAAGAAGGGGGCCCAGCAGAGGCAGAAGCAGCCCATGATGATGCACAGGGTCTTGGCTGCTTTGGTCTCGGTCCTCATGCGGTGGGTGCTGTGGTGGTCTGCCGGCTGGGGCCTGGCCTCCGCGGGGGCGCCTGCCCGCTGCAGCATCTGGATCTGGTGGGCGTGTTCCCTGGCTGTGACGTAGATGCGGTAATAAGCCAGCACCATGAGGACAAACGGGATGTAGAAGGCCACCACGGAGCAGGTGATGGCGTAGGGCTTGTTGACCATGAAGATGCAGTACGTGGCGTTAGAGCTCTGGTGGAACTTCCGCTTTTCTATC